AGGTAGCCAACCCGGCTCATTGTGAGCTCTCTTGTTTAACAGATCCGCAAGCGCTCTACACAATACCTGAAGTCACCGCCAGATGGCGGATATGAGAGGTCGGCACCTGGCACGAATGCCCCATCGAGCCGACCCATCAGGGATTGCATCGAAGGTATAGCAGAATGTACCCGTGACGCATCACTGTATCTGGAGTATCACCGCTGACACAAGATGCCGTTTTCCCATCATCGCAGAGATATTGCAGTCGCGGCAGATTGCCGGAGGTCAAAAAGGCACGGTAGTGCCCGCTCTGGGCAGTTGCACCCTGATGGATGAGCACTGCATGAAGTCTGAAGTGAGCTAAGTATGTGGCGATGGCAGAGGCTGAAGGTCTGCATGGGTGTTGGAAGCATGGCAGAGATATTCTCGTGTCAAGAATGATGCGGGAGATATCTTTGGGTGGTGAGTCTGTAATCGATGCTGCATCAGGGTGCTCTGATGTGCCATGGAAACGATTTAACTGAAGAGCCAATAAAGTCGGAACCTCAGAGAGAGCCATCACACCGATCGCCGCTTCGCCTAGCCAGATGTGAAGGAGTTTCTGTACTGTGAGATTGAGGCGAGTCTCATCGGAAGCACTCGCTCTCCCGCTACCTCCGAGCTCGCCTCGCTAGATCTGGACGAGTCCAGCGCCATGGCTGGGCAGCTAGCCGCTGAACTCAACATGCCGATGGGGGACTGGCTAGAGGAAGCGGTCTTCTGCTGGCCATAGAATGCGCAACAGGAAGCTAGGGTGTACCGTAGGGTGCACGGCTACCACAGTGACGACCTCACCTGGATGACGCTACTGCCACCGAGGATGGTTGCATCGTGGCCGGTAGGGAAGAAGAGGCTACTCGACATCTGGTGTCGGAGACTGCAAGAGGAGCTGCTACAAATTGACGCGCCAGTCTTGGCTACGCTAAAGGGTAGCCTGGACCCGGACCGGTCCTCGCTGGTGGGGAGGACCCGGGCCTCCACCTTGAAGCGCTGTCTCAGCTACTACCGCCGTGGAGGCTCGAGATCTGGCTCGCTGAAGCTAAGCTGCGCCATGTGGAAAAGGTAGCCGAGTTCCCTGAGGAGCAGCGCGCTACCCATGGGCGACTCGCCTGGGCCGCTAAGGACAAGATCGTCGAGATCCTCTCCGAGGGTGCCCAGCTGATCAAGCACTAAGAAGGCACTGCCATTTCCTCCGTCAAACATGACCTCGGCACGTCGAGACTGGATCTGAAGCTTGTTCCCTTGTGCATCCTGAAAACTGCCTCGGTTGGCTGTGGAAGGTGTGCCAGCATCATACATCCAAAGCGGCAAGCACGATGCATCCGCCCCGGAATCAAGAACAACTTCGACCTCTTCACCTGACTGGCATGTGTCAGTGACGACTCGGATCGAGAGACCACTAACTGCCTTGCGACTGCCACCCACCTGATGCTCACCACCTGCTAAAACCAGCGACCATGGGAATCTCGCAAGATGCTGTCTGGATTTCACTCGGCTTGGGAATCTCACCTGATGCTGTTTGGATTTCACTCGGCTTGGGAATCTCATCTGATGCTGTCTGGATTTCACTTGGCTTGCTGGGGCCATCCAGATCACGCAACTGAAAGCAGCAACATGGCTGAAGTCTGCACACAGCTCCAACGACACCACAGCACTGAGCAGCACGGATCACGCTGATGCTGCCTTGCGCGCCTGCTAAGTCGATCTCATCAAGATCAAACTCAATCCTTCGCACCTGAGCCTCGCCTTTCGGAGTCGCCTTGGGCTTAGCCTTTGCACCTGCCTTGGGCTGGGCATCGCTCGAATCTGCAATTGGATCCTGGCCAGCTGATGCATCCTCACCAACCTGTTGTACCTTCTTTGGCGCATGGCAATCTCGGGCAAAATGCCCTTTTCGCCCGCAATTATGAGAGGTCTTGTTGGTTGCAGGGTTGGGCGCTTGATCGCCTCGACCGCCCTTTGGTTGCTTTCCTTTTCCTTTCCCTTCGCCACCCTTGCCTTTCCCTTTGTCATCCTGCTTCCCTTTACCTTTTCCTTTGCCTTTGCCAAGACGATCAATCTCCATATCAGGAGGTTCATATTTGCATTAGAATATGACCCGGGTTTCTCAGAAAGACCGTAGGTAGCGGCAATGGAAGAATGGAAGAGCTCCACCTTGAAGAAGCAGCATCATACCAGACAACAAGGGCACGCAGAGTGTCGTACGTCCAGCTGTCCTCCATCATCAGCTGAACAAAACTGTGAAAAGCAGAGGAATCCACTTAACTCTCGGTCACAAAGCAGTGGTGCTCCCAATCGTGCACCCAGCAAGCAGGCAATGCAAGAGCAGAGCAAGGCTGAGATCAGATCAGAGCTTAGCACCGTAAGTTCAACTACACAGCTAAGAGGCAACGAGAGCACTACCCGAAGTGCGGTCTTGAGCAGTCGAGCTGCAAGTGAAACAAAGTTGACATGAGCCTACCAAGCATCCAAGGTGTACGTGTTCGCAAGTCGGTAACAAATCACACTATCCAACTGATAATTGGCAGATTTGCGAATGAATTTTGGTTCCACAATATACCAGACAATGTTGCCGAACGCTGTTTCATTGTTGCCCACAATCCAGCTGCCCTTTGCGTGCTGCGTCTGAGAAGTCGGCTGCCGCCGCGCATACGCCACGCTCGAGACGCGGCTGTATACACGCTATACTGCGGCCAGCAATCAACAACACAATGGAGTATGACAACGACCCTCCGTTTGTCATTGTCCGCCTGTCCACCCTTCCCGTGTTCCTGTGTTGCTTTCTGACCTTGTTTTTCTGCTGATTGATCTGCTCTGCCTCATGCTGCGAACGCTTTGTCACGATTGGGCCTGCTGCTTTCAGGAATATCCTTCATTTATCGTGGGCAGCAGCAACACAAAACGTCTTCAAGGATAGTGTCGAACCTGAATGTGCAGCTTCGCTGCCGTCCTTCCGGAAAGACGCTGCTGTCGGCATCAACAGAGTGTGCCTCATCAACGACGTCCTCCCGGGAGAAGAAGAACAACAGCAAAACAACAACTGCGGCCACCAAGGTCTGAAACAAGAGATGTGTTGAATCCAACCTCGGGTTCAGGGCTGTTCGCCTCCTGGACGCCCCAGGCTTCAACGGACCTCACTGAGCACCGACAGGCGGTCATCAAAACCTTCAAAGGTGCAGCACCAGTCTAGTTGCAACCCAAGCTGCTCAAAAACGGCCCTGCCAGAAATGTCACACATGCACGCAATGCAATGCAGGTATGACTCTATGAACATATGGCATACGAACGAGAGATACACAAAGAGAGGGAGAGAGAGAGAGANNGAGAGGGAGAGACAGAGAGAGAGAGGAGAGAGAGAGAGAGAGATAAAGATTAAGGGAAGGAGAGAAGACACAGAGAAACAATAACTCGAGAATTCGGAGACGTGGAATGGCTGCCGCGCCTGTGGCCCTGCGTGCAAAACCAGCCCACCCAGTCCTCAAAGCATCGCGCGCTAGGCGAGGTCACTCAATCGTTGCATGTTGTCCTGCGCTTCTTGCACAACCTGGATGCATGATTCTCCTGGACACGGTGTCATCTCAGCTTGGACATGCGTCGCCACCATGAACAACAACAGCCCCCCCTGACAGTCGGGCTCCTAGGGCCCACATGGCTCACAGTGTTTTTCGCACTACGGAAACAGCCGTAATCTGAAGCTATTGCCTTGGAAAGCCAATGTCTTCCAGGACTTAGACTGCAATGTGCGTAGGCAAAAACATGAGCGATTGCTGCTCACCGATGAAGAGGCTCATGAACCACATTGAACGGCGCGAAGCTGGTTCTACCTTGGCCTACGCCTTGAGATCCCTGGCCCTCCCTCCTTCGTGGACTTGCTCTCTCCCTTACGTGTGCCCACCCCCGCGCCCGCGCAGTCGGTGCTTTTTGCTCCGGCTCCGCTGGGCGGCGACTGGAGGCCGAGAGTCCCTCAGAGTTCGTCCTGGCAGCGGCGGTTTTGTGTTTTTTGTCGCCGACCGCGACGACCGCGGCGACCTCGTGCCCCCCGCGCCTTGGGGTGTCGGAGGGCGGCTCCGGAGGCCTCCGCCTCCTCCAAGCAGGCGCCCGCATGCCGGACCAGGGCCTCCGAGAGGGCGAGCAGGCGCAGGCGCACAGCGCACGGGCTGCTTAAGACATGGCCGGGCCTGGTAGGTGCAGCGCGAGGGCTCACTGACCTCCACGACTTCCTGCAGGAAGACGTCTGGCAACAGCGCTCTACATATGTGGCCCCCCCCTGCGCACTGCTGGAGCGCCTCTTCGGCGCCGCACTCGAAGACCACCTTCAAAGTGCGAGCGGGGCCTCCGTAGCCTCAGCCGTACTGCGCGGGGCGGCTCCCTTCGCTCATATAATCGCTTACAATCGGCCCGCGCGGATGCTCAGTTGCTTTGTGTTTTTGGCCAAGCGGCACATGTCCCCATCTTTGAAGAGGGCCTCCGAGGAGGAAGTGAAGCCTCGCAGCAAAAAGGCAGAGAGCGGAGCGGAGAGCGGAGCCGCGGAGAGCGGCCACTATAATATAACAGTCGTCGGGCCCCCGGCCGCTCCAGGTGCCGAGGCGGGTGAAGGACTGCTTCGCATCCTTGAAGAAGCAAAGCTTGTAAGTGTACCTCACAAACGGGGCGTGCGCTTGGCCTTATTGGAACGCAGCCTCCGAGAAGCTACGCATCGTTTCCCCGAACCAGAAGACAGAGCTCCCACCTCATACCTATACACATGCGCTCTAGCGCGCAAGTGCCCGAACTAGCATCCTGGCATATTGTACAGGGCAGAAAAGAAGCGGTGGCAGTTGCCTGCAGGCGAGAACGACAAGAAAACCTAACCCGCCTTCGTCGCGACACGGTCGCCACAGCACACGTCCCTACGTCTGAAGGATGTGCGAACTGAGAGCAACGCAAGCGGAGAATGACAAAAACGCAGGCGCAGCGGACTCAGTAGATAAAAAGTACGAATAGAGGCCGTGGTTGGCCGCGGTTGCGGTTCGAGGAGCAGACCGAGGTTTTCGAGAACACGGAGCTCTTGAGGACGAAAGCCCAACCCCTCAGTCAGAACCCAGTTTGGGAGCCTGCCACCAAGATGGGAAAGCGGGAAGAGTGGAAGGACGTGGAAATTTCCGATACGACGGGTCTGTTCTGTTCCGCCCGAACATGAAACTCGGCTTAGATCCGCCACAGCAGCGGAAGACTATTTAGATATGGCAGCAACATATTTCCTTTATTCAACAGACAGGGTGGGATGCAAGCGTCGTGTCTGCGCCGACCGTGTCACGAGTGCATTCGTGAGCCGCGGCCCAGGGCGAGACAAGCTGCGAAGCCCTCTTCTGCATGTCAGATTGCCCTGAAAAACGCAACGTCGAGCAAGACAGACACACAAAGCATCCCTGAAGCCTTGCTTTGCTGTGCTGCGATGTAGGCTGCGCGACTGGGCCCAGTGCTCGGAGGTCTTGTGCTCCAGGCACTTGTCTCGCAGACTGGCAAAGCCCAACATCTCCTCCGCCGTTACAGCGTGCTCTCACAACGGGAGGAGGGGGAGGGACCATGGAGGGGAGGGGATCATGTGGAGGAAGCTGCTGACTGGGCGCTCGAAACAGCCGTCAGTCGGGCCCGTCCTCGGGGAGTTCCTGCAGCAGATGTGACGTGAGACGTGACGCCACTTGACACCTTTAAAACCACGAAGATTGGTTGTCTGCAAGAGCCTCATCTGCTTTAGATCTTCGCTCTACACTGCCATTGCTTCTTTATGTGGGCAGTACGTTGAATCCTTGTCCGCTTCTCCTTTTCCCGGCTCATCACGACACATCTAGTCTCCATGGTCTCCATCAACTGCTTGATAATCTTGTCTGATAAGATGCTTTTCATTTGGCGAAGTGCAACTCGTTGTGCCAGAGACCTCATGCTTTTTCGGGTATCGCAGGTTTTACACACCATAAAAGCTGCCAAAACGCCTAACATGTTGGACCTCAGGCTGGCCCTGTTGCTTAGCCAGTTGTCCTGTGCTGAAATAACTTTTGCGGCACCGCTTGTTTTTGGAAGATAGAGAACGATAGACTGTAGATTGTAGCTCCCATTACAACAGAACCGTTTCCCGCGTCAGCACTTCTCCACTTGATTTCCCGCAGCCGAATGTTGAGGCTGACATACTGGAGGAAGGTTCCTGCTTGGGTGAGTGTGGAGAGATCACAAGGCTAAGGGGGGCACGTCTCAAGCGAAAAGCACGTTGATTCGGCCGGTATAGCTCCATTTAGCACTGCTGAAACTGTGAAAAACCTCTCTCTCAGAGGGGAGCATTGAGCACATCCCCCCTCCTGCAGCTCTCGCTCCAGGCGCTCGCGCAAGGCCTGCGGGCTGCGACGTGAATATGGCCGCAGAGCTGAGCTCGCTTTTGAAAAAAGACTGGGAACTGGCCCCCATCGGATTGGCTTCCCGTGGCTTCCGCGCGCCTGCTCCGACTTCACCTGCGCCTCAAGCTCCTTCAGCTCCTTCCCTGCAGGGTCCTCGTCCGAGTCGCCTCCGGTGGCGAGGATTCGGAAGGCCGAAGCCTAGGCCTATAAGCCTTCTTCTTAAGGCACTTCAGGGGCGGTGAAGGGCGCTTGGCCGGGCCTGAAGCCTTCTCCTGACTGGCAGCCTCTGCAGACAGCGCGGGCATGCAGGGTCTCCGGATTCCGCTCAGTCGGCACTCCCTACACCTCCGCGCGCCTCCTCCTCCGGCTTGGAAGGGGGCTCCTCTTCCGGCTCCTCCGGCTCTTCCTCCGGCTCCTCCGGCTCTGAGAGCTTTTTGTAGAGCAGAGCAGAGGGCGGCGTCCCGGTCTCGGCCCGGCCTGCATGGCATCGGCTCCCTCCATCCACCTCTGCGTATGCCAAAAAAAGAGGAGGAGGCAAAGGGGGGGGTCTCTCGGGGAAACTTGGAGAACAACTTTTTTTTTCTGAGCTCGGGAGCAGTTGTTAAACAGGCCACGGCGGCTTGGCATACTCGGAGACCACCTTGCTGGTGGTGCTCGTGGAGCTCGCTCCTGCAGAGCTGACGCTTCAGCCAATACTCCCAGCGACGCACTGCCGACTGAGCGCCTTGCCTGCGTCGGCGCCCTTTGTCTGCGCCTGACAAAGGGCCCCATAAGCGTACGACTGCAAAAGCCGCCCCTGCGGTGTCGTGTCGCGTGCCTCCAGGGATGCGATTTTGGCCTCCGCGGGAGCAGTGACAGTAGCACGGCCCGGATCCCTGGTGTTCAGAATGTATACAGTTGGCGGTTTCCCGAGATATGTACCTTACAAATAAGACACCGAACACCAGAGTCACTAGCAGAGGGCCCGGCAATAGCTAGCTGCCAAGGTTTCAATTTCGGCTTCTTGCAACACATCGAGACATGTACACTGTACACAATGATGTACCTGTCAACCTGCTTCGACGGTGAGATGGAGTCTCAAGGAGAGAGAGTTGTCTTCAGTCTTTACCCCTTCCGGAACAGCTGAGGCCAAGACTTCCAAGGATTTCACCTTCTCCCTGAGCCTGCGATGAAAGCTCTGCTGGGCTCAGCTGCCGAGCTGAGCCAGAGTCGATCGATGCGCCCCCCAGGGGAGCCTTGGCAACTCGGTCTTGCACTCCTCCTGCAACTTCACGGCCTCGAGCTCCTCCTCGGATCTGCGGCGCTGCACCCTCTGCACCCTCCGGGTCTCCGGCCGTCTCGAAGGTCCTTCCGCTTCCGCGCCTCGCCCAGGCGCGCCTCCAGCTCGGGCAGCTGTGCCAGCAGCCTCGCAGCTCAGACTTCGCGGCCTCCCCATCCACCCCAGAAGCCCGTCACCTGTCCAGATCCTCGCGCTTTTGAGCAAGGCTCTGCTTCGCCTTTACAGGGCAAAAGGGCAGAAAAGCCGGCCTGGCCACAACAGCGCCCCTCCTCCGTGATGGTGTGCTGCTTCACTTCCAAACCAGCGCCTCAGAGCCGGAAAAAGAGCAGCGCCGCGCCATGCGGCCATTGGCATCCACGTGTGCCCTCTGTGCCGCTCTCTTTGTGTCTGGCGGAGGTCTTTCAACTTCCGCTCCCGCTCGGCTTGCAGGCGCTCACCTGCAGAGAGGCATTCTGTGGCCCGGCCCGCCCGCAAACAACACACGAGCCGGCTCTCTCTCGCGCGAAGACGAAGGCCCGCAAACACCGCCTTCTTCTCGGCAAGTGTTCGGACCTGTCTGCAAGGAATCAACTTTGCTGATTGGGGGGACGCGTTCCGCGTGCGCCGGCTTTTGGGCCCCCGACATCGAGTACTGCGCGAGGCTTCCTGCAGGCAAAGACAGAGAGGAGAATCTCCGATCACGGCTCATATTGCTACAATGCAAGCGAGCAGGGCCGCTCCTCATCAGAGCCGTCGCAGCAGTCACAGATTCCATCCCCGACCCTGGACACGTAGACCTCGCAGTGCAGCAACGGCTTCGGACTGACAGGGCTCGGGGCCCTCAGTTTGGCCCGCTCTATATATGCGGCCCACACCAGCCGCGCTGCGCTGCCTGCATTGCTGCAATGGAAGAGAGCCTGTCGCAGAAGGCACGCGCGCTGTGCTTGTTACAGTGCTGGTTGTTCTGGCCCAAACAAGTGCCTCAGAGGCACCAGCGCAGGCTCCAGTTCCTGCGCTGCGACGGAAGCTGAACCAAGGCCGGCAAGGCACCACCGCTCCGTGCCTGGCTCATCCGATCCGTCTGGGCAGTCGCAAAAATCGTCGTTTACCTCCGCGATTTGCACCTGCAAGCAGACGACAAAAAAAGGACAAGACGAGTTCTGTCCGGTTCATTGAATCTCCGACGACGACCGAGCCGCCCAAGAGGGGCCTACGTGGAAACGATGGGAGGGTGTGTGCCGCTCTCTGATCTTCAATTCCTTGTGACACCAGAAACGTCCGGCTCGCAGGGTCCCAGATTGGGGTCCCAGATTGGGCCTCGTCACTACCCCTGAGCCTACAGAGCTACAGGGAAAACAGGAAACTCTACGCCTGGAGTGTACATGGCTAGCAAGTCTGGCGTTCTCTTGCTTGCGTGATAATAATGCTAAGTATAACAAGACAGCATCAATAGCATAATCAATAACACAACAGGAAGAGACATGGTAAATATAATGCTTTTTGTCCTGAACAAATAACATGGACACCTTGAAATGGAGGGCTTATAAGGCAGGTTGCAGGCCCCGCCCCCCC